GACCACTGCACGCATCTCCAAACAAACAGGAAGGGGACTTTCAAAATTCCCAAGGAATTTAAAGGGTAGGGCTGATGGTTGGTCACCTGAGGGCAGGGCAGTAGAGTTCAAACCGATGACCAGAGAGGTGAGAACTGGCATTGTGGGACACCTCCCGGAGGCCAATCGCAATGCTGTAATCGCCACAGTGTCTACACTGGCACCGCAGCGCTATAGCCCTGGCGCAGAAAGCTCTACGCCTCTCGTCAGGGTGGATTTTTTACTGCTCTGCAACTGCTCAGTTTCTGCGCACAAAGTGGCTTGGCAGTGTGTACACCTCTGCAGTTGGAGTGCAAAAAACTGCTTTACTGCACACAAATTTGCCAATGAGGACATAGATTCATAGGTTCTAGGACTGGAAAGGACCTTGAGAGGTCATCGAGTCCAGTCCCCTGCCCTCATGGCAGGACCAAATACTGTCTAGACCAGTGGCTCTCAAACTTTTTTTTCGCAGACCACTTGAAAATTGCTGAGGGTCTCAGCGGACCGCTTAATGATCTTTCCAAATGTTATTTGTACCATTAGCTAACTATTGTAAAGCATTTTGGATAAAAGTGCTATATAATAATAATTAATTTTTTTTGTTCTACAAATAAAAGCACACAACACATAGTTTAATATCAGTAGTCTTATCTTTCTAATGCAATGGATGTGCCCTCACTTCCCTGCCATGGCAGCCCCTGAACTGAGGCTGGGAAGGATGGGGGGTCTCTCCCTCTCTCCCCCACCACGGCAGCCCTCGAGCTTGGACTGGGAAGGATGGGGGGAGTCTCTTCCTCTCTCTCCCACCGCAGCAGCCCCTGAGCTAGGGCTCGAAAGGAGTGGGGTCTCTCCCACACCACAGCAGCAACAGAGCTGAGGCTGGGAAGAAGGGCTGTCTCTCCCTGGCAGCCGCAGCCCTGGAGCTGGGGAAAGTCACTTGTTTCTGTGGCCGCTGCAGCCCTGCACATCCCAAATTCCCCCCGCCCCCTTTCTCACCCCATTGCCCCCCTCCCATCTACCCCTTATTCCTCCCCAAGGCCACCACCTCACCTTACATATGCGTCTTCTCCAGGGTCCAGGTACCTAATTAGTGGAGCCATGCCTGCATAGCTTCACTAATTAGGTGGGTGACCCTTCATTCTTCTGTGTGTGGCTGCCCAGGCATACATCTTAGAGGGAACTATCCATGGACCACCTGAATGGAGCTCGCGGACCACTGGTGGTCCATGGACCACAGTTTGAGAACCACTGGTCTAGACCATCCCTGATAGACATTTATCTAACCTACTCTTAAATATCTCCAGAGATGGAGATTCCACAACCTCCCTATGCAATTTATTCCAGTGTTTAACCATCCTGACAGTTAGGAACTTTTTTCTAATGTCCAACCTAGACCTCCCTTGCTGCAGTTTAAGCCCATTGCTTCTTGTTCTATCTTTGGAGGCTAAGGTGAACAAGTTTTCTCCCTCCTCCTTATGACACCCTTTTAGATACCTGAAAACTGCTATCATGTCCCCTCTCAGTCTTCTCTTCTCCAAACTAAACAAACCCAATTCTTTCAGCCTTCCTTCATAGGTCATGTTCTCTAGACCTTTAATCATTCTTGTTGCTCTTCTCTGTACCCTCTCCAATTTCTCCACATCTTTCTTGAAATGTGGTGCCCAGAACTGGACACAATACTCCAGTTGAGGCCTAACCAGCGCAGAGTAGAGCGGAAGAATGACTTCTTGTGTCTTGCTCACAACACACCTGTTAATGCATCCCAAAATCATGTTTGCTTTTTTTGCAACAGCATCACACTGTTGACTTATATTTAGCTTGTGGTCCACTATAACCCCTAGATCCCTTTCTGCCATACAGTCTCTTCCCATTCTGAATGTGTGAAACTGATTGTTCCTTCCTAAGTGGAGCACTTTGCATTTGTCTTTGTTAAACTTCATCCTGTTTACCTCAGACCATTTCTCCAATTTGTCCAGATCATTTTGAATTATGACCCTATCCTCCAAAGCAGTTGCAATCCCTCCCAGTTTGGTATCATCTGCAAACTTAATAAGCGTACTTTCTATGCCAATATCTAAGTTGTTGATGAAGATATTGAACAGATCCAGTCCCAAAACAGACATACCCTCAGTCTCTGACTCTTGGAGTGCATATCCAGCACTCACCCTCATTGTTTTTGCTGACAGATACTGGTCATTTTCATTGTCCTAAGAACAAGAAAAATCTCATGAGAAAGGCTAGGGAAACGTGAAAAGAAAATCAGAAAGGACTATTTTGGAAAGTTATCGTTTGTCTTTTGAAGTCCCCAATAAATCTGAACTCCAGCCTGCCAGAATAATTTAATATGTGACAGAACAGTCTTCACCAAAAAGAGAAAAACCCACAATGCAGGGTGGGCTACAAACCACTTTCCCATTCATGAAGTGAAATCCCAGAGAATCTTAAGATTCAAAATCTGGAGAACAAATTTAGCCATTTCCTTCTGAACAGGCCAAACCTGCTTTATTCAGCACCGCCACATTATTTGGCTGTGTTATTGACAAAAGTTTTAAGCATCATCATCATAAAAGAAAGAGGAAAACAAGACGAACCTAACCAAAAACTTCCTATTTACAAATGATCTGGATTTGGCTGGAAAAACTCCAGATGCTACTTTACCAATAGATGGAGGCTGGGATTTGTAGACCTGAATTTATGGGGGTTAGGTTCGTGTCCCAATTCAGGCTCCCAGAAGGTTAAAGAACACAGATAGTTCTAGGTCAGGAGCGGACTCTTGTGGTGTGTGGCAAGGGCACTGATACTGAGGACAATACCAGAGTTTTAAGATCTTTATTAAAACAAGTGAAAAAGCAATCAAAGCTCCAAGGCACAGAGTCACAAATCAGTAATACAATTCTAAAGTTCCTGGTGGTAACATTCCTATTCTTAAGATTATTTAAGCTAGCATGCTCACACCTTTCCCTGAAGACCTGGTAGTAGGAGACAGAGGACCAGCCTTGTCTCTGGCATGTCTGATAGATTTGATGGTCTAGGTGGAGATCAGGACCGGATGATGAGTAGCTATGTTGCCAAGCTGAGCTGATAGCTTAATAGAACGTATAAAGAGTGATGAACGAGCGACCCCTCTGAATGGGTGTTTGTCCTTTTATAGGGTCCTCATAAAGGCATGAATATTCGTAGCCGTACCCAATCTACTGTGCCCAAATCTTATCTCCTCACCCAGATAAATCTTCGGGTACACTTATTCTATAGGCTAACATATTGTGACATATATTCATACATGTTAATATTGATTATCTCATCCCTGAAATCATTACCTTTTACATTAATCATAACTTCCATGTTCTGCTGCGGTGCACCCTGTGGTTACCGGTCTGTTCCAAATTTAAGGTAAACACCTTTGGTTCTTCATTTGATTCTTTATTAAGTTCCCCCAGAGACAAAGGGGTAGCCAATAGGACATTTATCTATGCCAAAGGTTGCAATCACTTATCCTAACTGACTCAAGCTAAGCTTCCTCTTATAGGATACAGGCCTGTAGGCTCCTTTGCGTTACAACCAACTGTTCTAAGTAATATATATTGAGATCCGGTATAAACCAAACTCCCTGAAGATAACAATATAATCAATCAAATCAATGAAGAAAGCACTCTAGGCAATATAGCAAGCTAGAAAAGTAACCTTATGGGCTACAGATTTAAGCTCAAACTGTGCTTTGGGGTTCATTTGAATTCCCCCTTCAGGAATGTGACACTTTTTTCTCCAGCCCTCAAGGGTCTGATTAAGGATCAAAGAAATCAAAGCCTGATTCCTAAGCATGGTGGGAAAAGGACACTGTGGTAAATGACACAGATGAAGGTGGAGGGGTAGAATGGGAAGAGGATAAACTCTCCATGGCTTGGGCAGAGGCTGCTCTGTCAGAGATGTGTGAGCTTGACGGGGGCAGGAGGGAATCCCTCGGACTCAACCCAACCCCCTCAAATAAAACAGAAGTTAAAACACCACATTATTTTGCTCTCCCTGCTCCAGCTTTTTTAGACTCTATTGAATGCTGGTGTATAAGGGAGAAACAGCAGAAAAATGAAATGCTTTTCAGCATTACCTGGAGCAATGTGGGGATGTCTGGGAATGAGGCAATCTCACTGCAAAGGGGGGACTTAGTGACTCTAACAATCACTTTGCTAATGGGAGATTGGAATAAACTGCTCAGGGTCAGTCTAGACTAGAAAAAGGGGAGGAGGAACAAAGGAGATGCACTAGCGAATCCCAATCACTTCTCCTGCCCTAGACAGGCACTCGGAGGCTGATATTATCACCCCCCATTTATTCCCTCTCTGGAAGGCACAGATTTGTCTCGGGTCACCCCGCAAGCTGCTGGCAGAGTTGGGAACAGAGCTTAGGTCTCCTGAGTCCCAGGCCAGGGTTCTATCCACTAGGCAGCGCTGCTTCCCTCTCAGAGGCTGATGCTGCTGTAGCAGAGGTGGGAAATCTGGGCTTGCAACAAAAGGCCCTGTGGGAATCAGTCTCTCCTAATGGTGCTGTCTGAATGCAGAGGGGGAAGGGAGAAGGGGGAGAGGGGGTGAGTGATGAGAGGCAGCACCTCTCTACCCCTGTGCTCTTCCTCGCCTCTTATCCCATGATCCCTAAACACTCGATAGCCCCAGCACCCTGCTCCCCCAGCCCCAGCCATTCAATCCCCAGTTTCCTCACCACAGCCCATCGGCCTGGTCTCTTAACGTTTGATCCCCAGCCCCTGCAGGGAACAGCTCCAGATCAGTGGGGGAGCCCAGCCCAGGGGCTAGTGGAAGATGGGGGGTGGGGACAGGTGTGTAGAGTGAAGGTGGGGCCTGGCCCAAGTGTCCTTCTCCTCATCTCCCTGGCAGGAGGATCCCGGATGGGAGGGGAAGGGGGGGGGGAACTTCAGCCAGGCAGGGGGAGCAGTTGGAGGATTTTCTCTCTCTCCCTTCCCCCATCTGTGGCCCATCAGCTCAGCAGCCAGGGCTGCAGCAGGGAGGAGGGGCTGATGGGGGCTTCTCCTCCTCTGCCTGGGGTTTGCTTAGACCAGGCAGAACCAGAGGGTCACAGACCAATTGATGCTCGGCTGCTGTTGGATCCTCACCCCAGCGATGGGCAGTTGGGGCCTTGGGAGCCAAATGCCCCTGATGTGTGTGGGAATGAGGAAATGGGTTTGTCACCATGGCCAGCCCTAGTCAGGGCCCTAAGAGAATTTCCCTGCTGTGTGGAAGAGTCTCTGATGTCCAGTATGGTGTTAGCTCCACTTAGGGAATTTTCCACATTGAGAACACCTCAGAGGTTTCTTCCCTGTGCGGATTTGCGGATGCCTGACCCCAAATGAACTTTCCCCCACATTCAAGGTGTCTCTGTTGTGTGGATCACTGATGTGTGAAGTAAAATTGAACCTTTTCCTGTAGTCAAGCTATTTCTGGAGTCTCTCACCCTTGTGTATTCTCTGATGAGTGGTAAGCGCTGACCTCCTACTGAAGCTTTCCCCACACTCAAGGCATTTATAAGGTCTCTCTCCAGTGTGGATTCTCCCATGTTTAATAAGGTATGAGCGCAGACAGAAAGTTTTCCCACAGTCCAAGCATTTATGGGGTTTCTCTCCTGTGTGGGTTTTCTCATGGGCTTTAAGGTTTGATTTGAAACGGAAAGCTTTCCCACAGTCCAAGCATTCATGCGGTTTCTCTCCTGTGTGGGTTTTCTGATGTGTAGTGAGGGTTGATTTCAAATTGAAACTTGTCCCACACTCAGGGCATTTATAGGGTTTTTCTCCTGTGTGGATTCTCCTATGATTAGTAAGGGCTGAACTTGCGATAAAACCTTTCCCACACTCAAGGCATTTATAGGGTCTCTCTCCTGTGTGGGTTCTCTCATGAGTTAAAAGTGCTGAGCTCTGACTAAAACTTTTCCCACACTCATGGCATTCATAGGGTCTCTCTCCAGTGTGGGTTCTCTCATGTGCAATCAGCGTTGCACTCTGACTAAAACCTTTCCCACACTCAAGGCATTTATAAGGTCTCTCTCCTGTGTGGGTTCGCTGATGTGTAATAAGCGTTGCACTCTGACTAAAACTGTTCCCACACTCACAGCATTTAAAGGGTCTCTCTCCTGCTTGCACTCTCTGGTGTACAATAAGTTGTGACTTCTGAATTAAGATTTTTCCAGAGTCCAAGCATTTATAAGGCTTCTCTCCTGTGTGGGTTCTCTGATGTGTAAGAATGTTTCCACTGAAACAGAATCTTTTCCCACAGTCAAGGCATTTGCAGGGTTTCTCTTCACTGTGACTTGTCTGCCGGACTGTGGTTTCCTTGGGATCCTTGCATCCTCTGCCACGTTGAATTGATTTGTCCAGTTTCTTCCCGGGATAGTTTCCCAGCTGCATCTCTGATCTGTGTCGATCTCCCCAGGCATTTCCCTGCTCCAAGCGCTGGGGAAAATTCCATTCAGCTCTTCTCAAAAACATCTCCTGCGGTTCCACTTTCCCAGGAACTTCCTGCTGCTGATTCTCCTCCTTGTTCTCACTCACTGTCCTATCACCTGCTGGGAGAGAGAGAAGCCAGACAGGAGTCACTGCCTGTGCCGGGGGGGGGAAAGGACAGAAAGGGGAATAGCAAAGAGGGAAAACACAACACAGTGACCGTTGGGGAGATGGAGACACTGGATTCTGCCTTCACATCCCACTCAAACACTCCCAGGGAAGTAAAGTCAGGGAGGAAATTCCCACAGCTAACAGGATGGGTGAGAAGCCGTGACTGATCTTTGCCTTGATGCTACGACACCTGCTGACTGCAGCCCTGACCTAGGTGAGATGAGGCAGAACTGAGGGCTCTTGGTCACAGCAAGTTTTTGGGAGTCCCAGCTTTTTCCTTTACTCACCAAATGTTTATCTGTTTCCCCCATTCCTCACCTGTGCGGGTGCCTCTCGGGCTCTCTCTTTCCTCAGTGACTTGGAGATCCGGGACCCACAGCTCTTCCCCTCTTTCCAGCTGGGCAATCAGGTCCGGTTTGGGAATGGGGAATCCTGTTGAGCGATGAAATTAGGCAAGGTCAGGGTGCATGGAGTCTTGGTAGAGTATTTGTCACATGGAATATTCCCTGAGTTTAACCTGACCCTACATGGGATTGTAGCAGCTCAGACCCCTTGGGAGCAGCAGACATCTGGAAGGTATGGGGGTGTTGTCACTCCCTCACTAGGAGGTCTCAGGGTAGATGCTCTCTGGGGACTCACTGACACACACACAGCTCGGGTGTTAAACTCCTGCCTATTTCCAAGCCTGCAGAATGGAGAGCCCTCCCCACAGATGGAGCTAGTCCCAGGATGGAAGGTGAACGGTCTGTGAAGAAGAAATAATACAGACAGGGCAATGCCCTGCTTCTGGCCTCTTGAAAGCTGGAGAGATGGGGATGAATTGGCCTGTCCATTAGGTTTCTGCCTCCCCTGTTCCCTAGAATGGGGCGTGGAGATAAAAGGTCTCTCACACTGGAGCTGTGGATTATGCGACCCTCCCCCTCCAAACTAACTCACCAGAGAAGAATCTGACCAGAGTCAGATATGCAGATCCACAGCTTCTAATAATCGAGGGGACGGGTATCGCTTACCCAGCGAGGCCACTGTCTCATAATTCTCCTGCATGACGTCCCTGTAGAGGGCTCTCTGACCGGGGTCCAGCAGAGCCCCTTGCTCCTCCGTGAAATACACAGCCACCTCCTCGAAGGTCACCGGCATCTGAAACATCAGTTCCCCCACTCAGCATCTGCAGCCCCAGCAACAATCCTACTAGTCACAGGGGAGGAAGCCCAGAGTAGCAGAATCCCACCCGCACCCTGCTCAGAACAGCCAGGAGGCTTCAGGGGGTGGGAGAAGGTGAGAGCTCCTTGTCCCCCCAGCACACGGAGCAGGGCAGGGTCTTCTCATTTCCCACACGCCTGCCAGCCACAGGCTGATATTGGAAGCAGAGCTCTGAGCCAGGGACAGGGACAGGAATCCCGACAGCTTCCCTTCGTATTTCACAGCAGCCTCTGCCCAGTGGGGTCAGGCTCCAGCACTGGGACTCTGGTCAGTTTTCCCAGCCCTGCCTAGAGGGGGTGTTTCCCGGTTCAGAAATGGGGGGATGTTTCCAGCATCTGCAAATGGGTCTGCTCAGAAAATCAGGCTCCAAATTGAACGTGTCCCAGCAGGTTTATCACATCCTGTCCCATCCCTGTCTCCCCCTGGGTGTTTCCTGCCCCTCCCGCTCTACAGTAACTCCCCCTGCAGCTCCCTGAAAATCCCCTACCTGAGCTGGCTCCATCACAGGCATTTCCCTTCTGCGAAATGTGGACATGATTCCTCAGCCTGTCAGGGCGAGAGGGCCGATGGGGGAGGTTTCAGAAGGGGCTTGAGTCCATTTCACACCCCGATTCCCCCCAGGCTCTCTCCCTGCAGACAGACCCTCTGGACTCTGCCACGCTGGGAAAACCCTCAGTCACTTTATTACAACAGAGACCCGGCCCCTCCCACCAGCACTGAACCCCTGAGACACTTTTAAACCCCCCC